TATATATATATATATATATAAATAAATGTTTATGCAATAAAACACTGTTTTGATAGAAATGTAAGGCATCTGTGTTTACTTGTGAAAGGTCTTTGTGCCTCTGAAATAATTCAGAATGGCTCCAGACCAACAACATGTACAGTGCAACAGTGACAAAACTGTTACTCTGCAACATACAAAAAGGTAAAGCATTGCTAAATAATGCACCTAAATTGCACATAACCGGTACATTTGCGCCGGCTGGGATTGGCTCCAGCCCCTACCGCAACCCCGTTCGGGACTAAGCGGTATAAATAATGGATGGATGGGTGGATGGTACATTTGCATACTTGTCAACTTGTATCACAAAGTGAAACAGGCATCAGCACTGTCTCTGAATTGTGATATACAAGTAAGAATAGCCTAATAGCAGATGCACCTGAACCCTATTAGCCAGCAGATAATGAACCAAAACACTGCATTATGTGGACAAATAGGGCATTATGCTCAGCGCAATGGTCGATTCAGACATCATTAGTCGCCCACTGTCTTGCTAACCCTTGAGTCTGTTTTCATTTTGTGGGGTGAGTTTAATGTGTTGGACAAATAATGTGTACATTATAATGTAATGTGTACATTATTTGTCTGTATTGTAGTGGGCAGTTGTTTAGCTTTTATCTTATATTTCATGTTGCTAAATTGTCAATGCAGTATCAGGAGAGTCACTGACTAAACTTCAAGTGATCATACAGCAGATGCCAGATCATCTGAACTGTCAGTAACCAAATGAAAAACTAGATAATCCAATGAAGATGTTACACTGGCGGTAGTATGCATAAAAAATGTCTTTAATATGAGGTATTCACTGAAGCTTTGTTGCTCATATGAACCTCTGTAGCAAGGAGCTGCTGTAACATATAACCATGCACTGTAAGCATGAACACAAAAACTGTATTGTCTCTCAGCACTTGGAAACTGATACAAAAATGACAATGACAGCATCCAGTTCACTAATGTACATAGAAAACATTGCTTATTCTCTCATGGCAATTAAAGCAGGATCATTTATATGCAACACTGAATCTGACTTAAAAGGGAAAAGAAATTTACCATAGTAACACTGCTTATCTTTTTTTTTTAAAGAATGTGGCTTATAAATACCATAAAATTAAATTCTTACATTTCAAAGGTTTTAAAGGCTCTACAATATGAACAATGACTACTGTTTAAAACATTATAAAGGCACACATGTGATAGTTTTTTTTTATTCAGTCCAACAAAACACAAGACTCGATCGAAATACTGATCTGCACAAACTGCCCTGCCTTCTTCAATTGAAAAAAGCAAAGCGAGCACCTCTTCTTAGATGTGTCACAAACTGCAATAAAGAGTGGTCTTTATTCTATAAACCAGCACTGTAATAACCTTTGTCTCACTCTATCTGTCAAGGCAGCTTATAGTGTTATTCAAATAATGTTAAGTCTGAATGTAAGTGCTGGATATTTTCAGACTCAGTAGTGTTTCCAGTTTAATCTCCACAAATATTCTGTCTGTGAATACTGACTTCAAAACACTACTAAATGTCAGAGGTTGGTAATAATGGTGAGGTACTTGACTTTGACTTTGACACAGTCTCCTCAAAAGATGACAGTCAATGATTAATGAAAGAAAATGAGATGAGAGGGGGTAGATGTGCATTTGGAGGCTGCTGGTACAGATGTGATTAGTGACAGAGGTAGGTATACAGTGGTAGACAGAGAAAAATGAGAAAAGACAGAGAAGAAAAGTTCAGAACTCTGTGTGTTGGTGACCGTCGTCTTGGCTGCCTGCCAGGTTCTCGCTGGGCTTCATGAAGATGCCCTCCATAGCCTTCCACAAGCTGTGCGGGCTGGGGCTCAACATGCCGTGAACCTCCCTCTGGCCGTGGATCGGCCGTCCATACTGCTCCCCTGTCACTGACAGCAGCGCCTCAGTGGCCTTGTGACGAAAGCGGACGGCCTCTTCACGCTTCCAGACAGATCCCCCACACTGAACTGTCCACTCATCCAGGTGGTCCCCTTCCCCTTCCTCACCAAACGCACTCACCTCCTGTGGACAAGTGAGAAAGACAAGCAAAAGAGGAGAGGGTGAGGATGATTTCTGGTTCAATTTTACAATCTGGTAATGTTACTGCAATAAATGTCTTATTGGCTTTAAACTTGCAGGGTATTAGTGATTTATAAGATATTTTACAAGCATTTTCATAATCAGCTTTTTTGAATTAGGTTGGAAATGTCAAAACCATCTTTTAGACATTAACCACATTATTTCCTAGTCTCCAGGAAGTCGTGGATAATCATTCACATAACACCAAACCTCTCCTCATTCTGCATGTACTTCTCACACCGCCCACCCATCTAACCTGGTTAGACGACAGCGGCGAGGTGAAGTAGTGGCTGTGCAGGTTACGGCCTGTGTTGACATGGGTGAGGCGGATCGTCTGTCCACACTTCACTGGGGTACCCCGATGGCAGAATGTGTCACTTGTTCCTCGTACGCTCCAGTAGCTGTTACTGTCCTCCACTGAAGTGACCCCTGTTACAGACTGCTGCCCGCTACCTGTCTCAAAACACACACAGTGAGTACTACAGACCCTGTGGAAAGTGGGCAGTAACACTAGGCTAGAACAGTTCATTCATGGTGGCCAATTTTCTAATTTTGAATTTGTGCATAGTCTGAAGGTCTGTAAACAGTAAAAAAAAAAAGTGCTGGTTTTGACTTTAAACAGACAACAGAGCCCCTGAGCATCTCAAATAATATGTTTGTAGATTTAGGAGAACTTGTGCTTGCTGAAGCCTAATACCTCCATGCGTTCTTGCTCCTTTCTGTGCCTGGAATTAGGTCAAATCCTTATAAAACTGGATGTCCAAGCACATCGTCCTACTTAAAACTCTTTTTATAATTGATTTTTTTTTTTTTTTACTTGTAGGGATTTTACTTACTGTAATGATGTCAACTAGACTCATACATCGTTCCTACTTTTACAAAGGTAACAAGAAGAAAACATCAGATCAGACTGATCAAAAGAAAAAGGTTAATGCTGTTCGTACATATATTCATACTTTTCATACTAAATTCAATTTTGATCAGTTAGGTTGAAAGAAGTCACATTTCACCATCGTTTATAATAAGGTTTGTACACGTAATGCAAGAAAATATGAATGAAATGACAATCTTTGAACATGCAGTGGGAATTAGAATATCAAATGATCATCCAAAATACCCTTTTGACTGCAGTGTCGGGTAATGGTATAGAAAGTAAATGCCGGTAAGAAACACAAAGTAACTAATTCATCTTTAACCAATATTATTAATGACAGAAAACTCACCGGACCCGTAGCGTACGTCATGCGAGTGTAGCCTCACATTGTGCTTTACATTTAACAGTTTAACGACAGATCCGCATGTCACAAAACTCAGTTCCGTTTCGAGTGATAGCCCAAATATACAGGATAACAGTAATAAAAGGGCTGGTAGAAAGCGGAGAACAACAGCACAGTCCAAATCACCACCCATTCCTACAAGAAGCCGAGCAGCCACCAAGACCGTTTGAGAAATCTTTTCTCTTCGATACGTCATTGAAATGTTCTAATGTGAGGTTTGGGAAACAGCGCCCTTAACGACTCGGAGTGGTCACGGTAGGAATTGTGCTAGGGTTATGATTTATTTCGTGTATATGTGCCGTCGCTTTATTTTTATGATAATGTGGCAAAATATCTATAAAGTACTGTGATCGCTTATACTGTACAATCTTGTTTATTGTTTCTGGTTTTTGTCGAGTTGCCGTGGGCCGGCAGGGGGCGTCACCTTGCTAATGATAAGGTTGGAAGTTCCCGTCACTGCATCCCGGAATTTTTATCACACCGCTTGTTCTCGGCCATTTTTACAAGTATAATCGTCTTGAAACACAAAACACAACACACCCCGTTATTATCGTAAATATTTGCGGAATATATTACCGCCGTGAGACGTGTAAGTCCAATTTTATCGTGGTCATTTGCGATGCTTACACTGTTGTGCTTGGCTAACAACCGTAAACTAGCTAACGCTAGTTAAGCTAGCTGTTGTTGTATTTAGTTACAGTAATGCTAGGCTAACGCAGTGGTATGCTAAAGCATTAACGCGAACAACTACTGGCTGGCTTAAAGGCATTTTGTACAAATGTGACTTTGGATTCGTTGTTCTTTTGTCGTTGGCTGATGTGTTGGTGTGCACAAAGCAATTCAGATGAACGAACGTGAAAATTAAATACAGGCTAATTGATAAAGGTTGCTCGCTCGCTAAATTGCATCGTTAACAGATAGCCTGGTTGGTGATGGCTAACGTTAGCTCACAGTGATAGCAATTATACCTAATATCACCGAGCAGAATTTTCAATATACCAGTATAGCTTAGGTTTGTCCTCCGAACGCTCATCGGCTAACATTAAGATGTCATCTGAATAACCTAAATATTGAGGGGAAATACTGGGTTTAGTTGGTCTTCTCCGTCGATGTTGTGTGTATGCGCATTGCGACACTGCCATTTGCTGTGTGTGTTTTTTTTTCTTAAGCCTACCATTTACATCTGGTTTTGTTGTACCTTACTAACATTTTAACTATGTGTTTGATTAAAAACAATCAGGTTAAATACAAATAGCATTACAGCGTTGTTTACTTTATTTAATTGTTCAGACCTTCATAGTTAATCAAACATGTACCAGAAAGCGTTGCTTTCATGCATAATCCATTTCTTTTGTATATTATATTCATCCCTAAGAAATCATCAGTAGCTTAAACTGTAAGTACGTATTAAGTAAAAATCGTATGTGATAGGACATCACAGATTGTACAGAATCACACGGACAGACATGTTTGACCCTTTTCAGGTCAGTTAAAACATATGTTTAGGGCTGAATCGCCATTTGATGGACAGGTGCAGACATTAAAAACGTGTCTTGAGTTGGAGTATTTGACAAATGTTAATCAAATAATGTTAATGAGGACTTGGAACAAGTTCATGTATATATGTAAAACTGTCAGATAGTGTGAAATGAGATGATTTTTGCAATCTTAAAAAGGTCTAAATGGGAAATTAAACTAAAGGATGTGAAGGAGTGAAATTGCAGTTACAGCAAACAGTACTAGGTATGAGTTATTGTGTGTAGCTTTTACATTTGTGACTAGCCTGGGAGAACAAAGTAATGCTTAGATGTTGATAAAGTTTACTAGTAGCATCTTTAACTTCTCAGGAACAGCAGTCATGTCAGACTTCATTGACAGCGAGGCTGAGGAGTCAGAGGAGGAATTTGAAGAGAAAGACCTAAAGCCTAAAAAGACCCAGAGGTTTTTGGAAGATGATGGTAAGATAAAATTATTTATTTAATTCTGGGTATGCATTTCAGAGGTTAGGTTGTGTGATGTATGGATTTCTCAACAGATGAAGAAGAAGAGGAGAACACAGAGGACCAGGATGAGCAAGGAAATTTACGAGGGCTCATTGATGATGGAGAAGAGGAGGGAGAGGAGGAGGAGGAAGAAGAAGAAGCTCAAAGAAGTAGGAGTGGAGGGGGGAGTGACTCAGAGGAGGAAGTGAGGCATCGGCGTAAAAAGCGAAGTAAGTTCCTCAGGTGTTTCTAGTGCTACTTTCACTAGCAAGTATAATGAGTATGAGACGTGACAATTAAGTGAGCTGGTCTTTTCACGAGTTGTACTTTGCATTTTACCATTTTTCATCACAGTCATCACAGTGGTAGAAATGTAACATGTCTTGAATTTGTTTCCTCTGACTGCAACTTTTCATCTTTGAAGGTTATGACGACTACCTGGATGATGATGATCTTGACCTGATTGAGGAAAACTTGGGTGTTAAAGTAAAAAGGAGGGTAAGGATTGTTCCTCATCACTGTTTTCTCTGTATAGTTATGGTATATAGTTTTACCTTTAGCCTCTCAGCTTGATTTATTTCTGCAGAAAGGAGTTGTCTACAACAGCACACAGGAATGCATGTCACAGAGACTCAAAGGGCAAACAAAATTCACTTCTATATAAAAGAGAGTTTAACGTCACACACAAAGGAGGGTAGACTGAGAAACATCATGTATCTATGTTCACAGAGCTTCTGCCTTCAAAACAATACTGGTTCTCATGTGATACGTTCAAGGTCGGTGGATAATACAGTTGCTTCTCCCAGCAACACATGCCTTAGCTATTTACTGTGTCAGCAGAAACAAAGCACTTGTGAAAGTTTACCACAATCGGTTACTCGGCTATAGTTTAACCTATCAGTGAACAATATAAATGGATATACGGATAAATGCCATTACACATTATGCCTCATTTTCTGTGTTTTCATTTAATTTTTGGAGGGTGAAAGTGTTTGATAGCTGTGCTGATACTGTATTTGTCTTGTTTCACAGAAGAAGAAATATGACCGTGTAAAAACACTGGATGATGATGAAGAAGATGACGATGAGAAGGACTTAATTGCAGATGAGATCTTTCATGGGGATGGAGAAGGCGAGCTGGAGGAAGGCGAGGCTGTGGATGAGTCTCTCCAGCAAGCAGATGATGATGAAGAAGGAGAGGACGAGGAGTCAGGTGGGCCAAAAGGACTTTGTTCTTTCTTAAGATATTTAAACAGTGTTTTCTCTTAATTTCAAAGTGATGTGGTATAAAATTGCTTTTTAATGTTGTTTTTCCACAGATATAGATGATTTTATTGTGGATGATGATGGCCAACCCATCACCAAAAAAAGGGGCAAGAAATTCCCAGGATACACTGATGCGTGAGTGTTGCACTTGACAGAGCAAATCTAGTGGTGTTTACCCTAAAAAAAAACTACTTTTGCTGTGCATTAAATGACCCCATAGTGTCACCTTAGTCCATTAACACAAAATATTGATGTATATCAGGAAACAATGAGACAATAAACATAAAATGGCAATCTCCTTTTAAGATGTAAATTGTGAGAATCACAGAATCACTGCTATTTCTCCTCATCACTCTTCATTCTCCCACAGAGCCCTCCAGGAAGCTCAGGAGATTTTTGGTGGCGACTTTGACTTTGCTGATTTTGACGGTGACCTTTACGATCAGGGTGAGGAGGAGGAAGAGGACCAGGAAGAAGAGAGCTGGGACCGGCCAAAGAAACAGACTAAGAGAAGGCTGGGGAGGAAGAGCATCTTTGAGATCTATGAGCCCAGTGAGCTGGAAAGCAGTCACATGACTGACCAAGACAATGAGATCCGCTCTGCAGACATGCCTGAGAGGTTCCAGGTGTGTGTGTGTGTTAATCTGTGTTCCAAGCTTGTTGTGCTTGCTGTGTTTATGCACTTTTGTTACGTTCTGATATGAACCAAAGAAGTTCATAATGGCTGCTTGGCCTTCTCCATGTTCACTGAGTAGATGAGGTGGGAGGAGAAGCTTTATGATTGTCAGTTAGTCTTTGAAAGCATATTTATTTTGTTTGCCTGATGTTATCTTTGCTGACTGTGTTGTCTGTCTTGTAGCTGCGATCCATTCCTGTTAAACCAGCTGAGGATGATGAGCTGGAAGAGGAAGCAGAGTGGATCTTCAGACATGGCTTCTCCACTCTTACTATATCTATGCAGGTACATCCTTTGCCATACATAAAGTTAAAGTCCCATTTTCCGAGACAGATAGTTGTTACTAATAGTTGTTATTGTTTCCCCCTGTAATCTTAAACAGGAGAGCACAGATTATCTAGACAGGGGGACAACCACAAACTTCAGCAGGCACGTTGCCAAGATCAAAGAGGCCCTGAACTTCATGAGGAATCAGCAGTTTGAGGTACTGTGAGCTCACCTTAAGTCAGACCACCATCTTAGATAATCAACAACTTGTCAGTATGTCTTTAAGATGGTATCTGAAATGTGTTGTTAATTTAAAGACCTTGTTCTTTTTTAGGTTCCATTCATAGCTTTTTACAGGAAAGAATATGTTGAACCAGAGTTAAACATCAATGACTTATGGAAGGTGTGGCAGTGGGATGAAAAGGTAAAGATGGCATCTATTTTATCGCAGAGGAAATGGATTGTAGACTAACAAATGTCATCATTAGCAATAGGGCAAACTCATTTAGGTGTGCAGCTAATTCTTCAATAACGTTTTTATAAACCACTCCCAATCATTTGCTTCCATCATCTTGACATGCGTATGTCACCCCTGGTCTCTTGACTTATTCATCCTCCACCCACCAGTGGACTCAGCTGAAGACCCGGAAGCAGAATCTGACCCGGTTGTTTCAGAAGATGCAGTCCTACCAGTTTGAGCAGATCTCTGCTGACCCTGAGAAACCTTTGGCTGATGGTATCCGTCCTCTAGACACCGCTGATATGGAGAGGTATGTCTCGATAAATCTGGGAGGCTCAGGGTGATAAAAGTATTTCTTTTAGATTGTATTTGGTTGTGACTACACTAAGCAAAGAAAAACTGCAGGAAATTAACTAGAGATGCACCAATTACTATTTTCTGGGCTGATTCCAATTTCAGATTTTTTTTTCTTTCATGAAAAATTTTCTTGTAATACAATTATTGTATTAAAGTTTTATATTTTGGTCTTTCTCTCACTGTACTTATACATGCATTTCATGTGTAGCTAATAATTCCCTCATTGTGTACTATTTGTTGGAGATTTGGATGTAGTTTCTCCTCCACGGTGTTTCTATAGGCTCCTCTGTGCACTTTTTAATACACCAGGGGATTCCAATGTGAACATGTGTGTGGTACTGATACAAGCATGAGCCTTGCTCAATCTGTATGTGAGATGCTTTGTTTTTGATCTGTGCCACTGTGTGTGCAACATAAACTGTCTTGCCTCTAAATCTGATCAGCACAGAATCAGAAATCTCAGAGTGGTCGGTTGGTTCCCGGGCAAGGCCTTTTTGGATATTTGCCAATCGATTGGTGCACCTCTAAATTTAACATGATAAAATTCACATGGTAGTTCACAATAGGCAATGCTATTCACCTATTCAAACATATTTTATCATTATCTATAGACTGAAAGATGTGCAGACACTAGAAGAGCTGGGTGATGTGTACAATCACTTTCTGCTCTACTATGGTCGAGACATCCCCAAGATGCAGAATGCTGCCAAGGCCAACAAGAAGAGACTCAAGAAGATCAAAGAAGTGTCAGAGGATGGTAAGATGGGTCTGAATTGGCCATTTTATTAGATAGTGCGTGGATACTGTGGAATTGTTTAGTTCAAATGAAACAACGTTTGAGTCAAGTTACAGACATCAGGAGTGTTTGATTTATTTAAATAATTTGCTACATGACTGATTTTGATGGGCTGCCTCTGTAGGTGAAGAAGAACCATTGGAGGTAGAAGAGGAAGAAGAACAGAAAGGACCTGACCTCAAGCTGGCATCTCGTAGGGATATGTACAGCATCTGTCAGAGCGTAGGACTTGGTTAGTCTCCTCTACTCTGTACACAGGCAGTGTTTCACTGTCACATCTCAGCCACATCTCCTCATCCTTAGGACCAAGAATAACTTGATAGGTCCAGCTTTATCCTTTGCCCGAACTTCAACAACTTTTTGTGTTTCTTCCTTTCTGTAGATGGCTTGGCTAAAAAGTTTGGCTTAACTCCAGAGCAGTTTGGAGAAAATCTGAGAGACAGTTACCAGCGTCATGAGACAGAGCAGTTCCCTGCTGAGCCTCTAGAGCTGGCCAAAGACTATGTTTGCAGTCAGTTTACCACTCCCGAAGCAGTGCTGGAAGGAACCAGGTACATGGTGGCCATGCAGATTGCTCGGGAACCTCTAGTCAGACATGTTCTCCGGCAGACCTTTCAGGAGAGGGCCAAGATCAACATCAAACCTACAAAGAAGGGCAAAAAGGTATTGACACATTTATTCACATGCATTCGTTTATAATTAATCCTAAGCACAGCATTTTTAGTACTTTCAGAGTGTGCTCTGAGTACCGTTCTAAACCTGCCTTGCCATTTGTTTATTTCCTGTAGGAGGTAGATGAGGCTCATTTTGCCTACTCTTTCAAGTATCTTAAGAACAAGCCTGTAAAAGAGCTGAATGGGGATCAGTTCTTGAAGATGTGTCTGGCTGAGGAGGAGGGGCTGCTTTCCATTGACATCTGTATTGACCTTATAGGGGTCAAGGGGTAAGTACAGTGGCAATACTGACAATCAGAAGTTCTGAGTGATGGTGTCGGTCTTCCAGATCTGTATAGGAAGAACTTCCGCAGTCCATATATATGTCATGTAATCATGCAGGCAGACACCTGTTTAATCAGGCAGACTCCTTGTATCAAGCCAGCCAGATGAGGCACATCATAAATACACATTCTGAGGTCTTACATTTCTTGCCATGCTTTTTTTGTTCCTACCCATTCTGTGGTCATAGTTCATTTACCAAGCAGAGGATCTGATATGACTGCCATTTTAGCATCTGTGTAGAAATCTGACTTAGGTGTTGGAGCAAATAAGAGTCAGTAAGTAGGACAGGGTCCCCTTAGTTTAATTTCTTAAAATGTTTGGCTGCACCTTATGTTTTCATTCACCTCCTTGTCAGTAAAGGATGGAGCTTTTAAATTGTAACTCTGGTAATATTAAGGCAGTCCATACTGTCTGTGCTTCTCACTCTGTCTTCCCTCTGCTTCTCCTCAGATATGCTGGAGACCAAACATACTTTGATGAGATCAAACAGTTCTACTACAGGGATGAGTTCAGTCATCAGGTGCAGGAGTGGAACAGACAACGAACCTTGGCCATAGAGAGAGCTCTGAATCAGTTCCTCTATCCTCAGATGGCCAAGGAGCTCAAGAGCAAACTGATCGCTGAGGCCAAAGAGAGCATTGTCAGGGTAATTAGCGATCTGTTTCCATGTATTATATTAGATTGTCTTACTGTTCTGCACACAGCGAGAAGATTTGTACCAAAATAACATCAAAATCATTGAAGTCTATGCTTGATTAGTATTTTAATCCAGGAAGTCATAATGAAGTCTTAGTTTTTCTTCATTTCTTCTTGTAGTCCTGCTGTCGCCGGTTGTATAACTGGCTTAAGGTGGCTCCCTACAGGCCAGATCAGCAGGTTGAGGAAGATGACGACCTGATGGATGAGAGTCAGGGGAAAGGCATTCGTGTACTGGGTGTAGCTTATGCACCCAGCAGGTGTGTGCACTATGATATTTGTATTTTCTCCTCAGAAATATCAGTAGCTTGAATTTGTGGTATTAACATCACAGGGCTAACTTTTCAACTGCGTGTTTGAATGACCAGGCAGTGTTTGCTGCATAAATGGGACAATTCTTTAATGGTGTAGTTTATTACTTACACACTGTGCTCTGACAGAGATACACCAGTTTTCTGTGCTCTGATCAATGGGGAAGGAGAGGTGGTGGACTTCCTGCGTCTGCCCTACTTCATGAAGAGGAGGAACGCCTTCAGGGAGGATGAGAGAGAGAAGAAGGTAGAATCAGTCAGCTGATGCTTTTCTGTTTTAGAAAAACATGGTACTGGCTGCTTCATTGTAGTGCTCACTCGTGTGTGTGTGTGTGTGTGTGTGTGTGTGTGTGTCTCATCCTCAGGCGAATGACATTGAAAATCTCAAGAAGTTTCTGTCCAGCAAGAAACCTCATGTGGTGGCTGTTGCTGGAGAAAACCGGTAAGTAATGTTTTCTTTAGTCTGTGCTGGAAAGTTATATTTGTAACATTTACGAGTTATAGTGGAGTCAAAGTGTAAATGTGAGAAATGTGTGTGTGTGCAGAGATGCCCAAATGATCATGGAGGACATCAAGAGGACTATCAGCGAGCTTGAACAAGAGTCCTCTCTGCCTGCTGTGGGAGTGGAACTTGTCGACAATGAATTGGCCACATTGTACATGAATGGAAAGAAGTCTGAGGTAAACACCTCACCATACCATACGTAAAGACAAATCAGCAGTTTCACTGTGCAACTGTGCCAGCTAACTGGTGACACGTTAGTATTAATTCAAGTTGTTTGACACATGTGACCTAGATTGATACAAACTCAAGGCCCGCAGGCCACATGTGGCCCTGCGTACAATTACATCCGGCCCGCAAGATCATTTTATATATTTTTTTTTATATATCCCTTGCTGTGGCATTCATGTGGACAGCAAAGTAAGAATTTCATTGTACAGGAAACACATGTCCTAACTGTGCATATGACAAATAAACACTTTGACCTGGTGGATCCATTTTTTCTTTTTTCCCCAGGTGTGGCCCAGTGCTCATTTTCCACTTTCTCTCTATGCTTTCTGTCTATGCAGGCTGATTTTAGGGATTACCCTCCCTTGCTGCGACAAGCTGTGTCAATAGCGAGGAAGATCCAGGATCCCCTGGTGGAGTACGCTCAGGTCTGCAGCACTGACGAGGATATTCTCTGCCTCAAACTGCATCCACTGCAGGTGAGCATTGGAAGAAATAAGTGGATGTGTTGAGTTTTTTGCTGAGTGTTTGCATTTATTTCTGTATATTCTTTAAGCATGATTTGTTTAAATGTGTCACAGCCAGATTTGCAGCATTTTCTGTCATTAAGAAGATAATGTGACTTGCTGCCTTTCCAAACTCTGACCAATCATACATAACTGTGACTAAAATTTGACTATCTAATATGAAGCAAAACATAATTCTGCAGCTACATACAGCAGATAATTGTGAAACCATTCACCTTTATTCTCAGGAACATGTGGTGAAGGAGGATTTGCTCTCTGCTCTTTACTGTGAATTCATCAACCGTGTCAATGAGGTTGGAGTGGACGTGAACAGGGCCATTGCTCATCCTCACACTCAGAGCCTGGTTCAGTATGTCTGTGGTTTGGGACCCAGGAAGGGTTCCCACCTGCTCAAGGTATCCATATGTCCTGCCATCATAAAATTTTTGTGTCATATCTAAGAGTATAATGCATCATCTGCTGACCTGCTAACTATCTCTTGTATTTGTGCAGATTCTGAAGCAGAATAACACTCGACTGGAAAACAGAACCCAACTGGTCACAATGTGTCACATGGGACCCAAGGTTTTTATCAACTGTGCTGGTTTCATTAAGATCGACACTGCATCACTTGGGGACAGGTAGGTACTTTGTCAAATGTTTCTTGTAATGATAATGATGTCAGACAGGGCTGTGATCTGTCACTTATCTGTTGTGTGGTTATTTTAAATCGGCACGTTTTTAACCGCTCTCGACCTCTGCCCACAGTACAGACTCCTACATTGAGGTTCTAGATGGATCTCGTGTCCACCCTGAGACGTACGAGTGGGCACGCAAGATGGCTGTGGATGCACTCGAGTATGATGAGTCCGCAGAAGATGCCAACCCAGCTGGAGCACTGGAGGAGATCTTGGAAAATCCAGAACGTCTCAAAGATCTGGACCTGGATGCCTTTGCTGAAGAACTTGAGAGACAGGTGTGTGTTGTGGTTTTGACTGAAGCAGTATTTCATGCATTCTGCTACACATCAGACCCCAGTATATGTTTCATAGAACTTGTGAAGTCACCATTCTTGTTTACATATTTTATTTTGTGCCGGTAGGGTTACGGCAACAAGGGAATTACTCTGTATGACATCCGTGCAGAACTGAGCTGCAGGTACAAAGACCTCAGAGTTGCCTACAGAGTCCCCAACACTGAGGAGGTCTTTAACCTGCTCACCAAGGAGACTCCGGAGACCTTTTACATTGGTAACACACGCTGTAGTGAAGTATATATTTTTCTTGTGAGTTGACATTTAACAAAAATCAGTAACATTCCTAACCGCCAGCACTCAGTCTAAGAAGTTGGTGCAGTAGTTAAATCATGTGACGTGATACCATGACTTGAAGTACCAGTCACAGATGTGGTTATTGTTTTTGCCAGTGGTTGATGTTATTCCTCCTTTTCATCCAGGTAAGCTGATCACCAGTGTAGTAACTGGCATCGCTCACCGGCGGCCTCAGGGAGAGACCTATGACCAGGCCATCCGTAACGATGCTACTGGGCTGTGGCAGTGTCCCTTCTGCCAGCAGGACAACTTTCCTGAACTCAGCGAGGTACCACACTCCTGACTTTCCCTGTTTAGCTTGTGCAGCTTAGTGTCAGAAAACAGCTGAGTCTGGTTCATATTTTGTGTCCCCACTTTAGGTATGGAATCACTTTGACAGTGGATCGTGTCCAGGTCAGGCCATTGGGGTGCGGAGCAGATTAGATAATGGTGTCCAGGGATTCATTCCCACCAAGTTTCTCAGTGATAAAGTGGTCAAACACCCTGAGGAGAGGGTCAAGGTGAAGTGCTGTTTGTTATTATCTTTTGTTGTGTTTTGCTGATGCTTTTCGTATTTATTATTTTATTTTATTTTTGTTATTCACACCAGTGTAATGTGTGACTGTTCCTCTTCCCACTCCTCCTTCAGGTGGGCATGACAGTTCACTGTCGCATCATGAAAATTGACATTGAGAAATTCAGCGTCGACCTCACATGTCGCACCTCTGATTTGATGGACAAGGCCAATGAGTGGAAGCTCCCCAAGGACAGCTACTATGACTTTGACACAGAGTCTGAAGACCAAAAACTGGAGGAGGAGATGAAGAAGAAACGACAGCGAACACGTTAGTATTAATTCAAGTTGTTTGTATCAAACTAAGTAAAGCAGTACACTGTGCTACTTGTGGGGACGTTTTTCTCTTAATTCACTTTTTTTTTACACAATATCCACTTCCACATCACTATCCTCATATTGTTTGTCTTCTCATTGTATTCTTTGTTTCACCAGCATATATAAAGCGTGTGATTGCACACCCCAACTTCCACAATATCAGTTTCAACCAGGCAGAGAAGATGATGGAGACCTTGGACCAGGGAGACTTGATCATCAGACCCAGCAGCAAGGGAGAGAACCACCTTACTGTCACCTGGAAGGTAAGAAACGGCTGTAGGGCTACAGCAGGGTAATATTAAAAGGTCTTGTTGAGGTCTACTCTGACTCTTTGTGATGTTTCATAGGTGGCTGATGGTATCTACCAGCATGTGGATGTGAGAGAAGAAGGCAAAGAGAATGCGTTCAGCTTAGGACACACCCTCTGGATCAATACCGAAGTGAGCTGTTGTCTCCTCTTTGTTGGCATGGTGTTTTGCTTCTCAGTCAAACCTGCAGACAGTTTATGGTCAGGTGTGTGTAGATGTGGCTGCTGCATGTTCATTCTTTCACTGCAGGAGTTTGAAGATCTGGATGAAATCACTGCCCGGTACATTCAGCCCATGGCATCATTTGCCCGGGATCTACTGGGGCATAAGTACTTCCAGGAGTGCAATGGGGGCAGCAAGGAGGTATATAGTGATTCACTGAGTATTCTGTAGTGTTTAAAGAGCCCATGACGTGCTTTTCCTTGTTTTCTGACTTTTCTACAATGTTACAACTGTGAATTATCATCTTAGGTTTGACCTAGAGCCCAAAAAATGAGGTGTACTTATGTTCTAGTACTTATATGCAGAAGCAACTTGGTTTAAAAAAGTTTGTCAAACTCTCGCTCAAGACATTTTTTCTAACTAAATAAAGTTTTATGTGATTAAGGATTTCCTTCAATAGCCATAATCTAAAGCAGTTACGTGTTCATGTGAGCTTACCTGACATCCGCCAGTGCCATTGTAAAAGCAGAATTTTTTGACTGCACACGGTTTCCTTTTGTCTTTTTCTCTTTTTGATAGAAAATGGAAGAGTTATTGAACAGAGCAAAGAGGGAGAAGCCTACTTTTATTCCTTACTTTATTTCGGCTTGTAAAGATCTGCCAGGAAAGTTCATACTGGGCTACCAGCCTCGCGGGAAACCACGGTAAGCAGACGTTTTTGCTGCCTCTGTTTTTGAGCTACCCATGATGCCATGGTTAGGAAATATTCAATAAACCAACTGGGCTGACTTGAAAACATACAGTATTTCTTAATGTTATTTTTCTTCAAAGCAGCTCAACTCACATTCCAACCACAGAAAGGGTCAGCGATGCTATTCACTGCTGTAAATTAATTACAGTAGCATATGGTGACTTGCATCCACAGCTACAACAGAGGTGCATATTTGCACATTTCAGTCTTTATGAGTCATGTCATCCTTGTGCCAAATTGTAAAATCCACTCTCCCACACAGCTGCTCCTCTGCCAAGACATGTTTTATTAGATGTTTATAGGTTTTATTGACATCATATCTGTAGAATTGGATGTCAGTATGCCTTTTCCCCCTAGGGTTGAGTATGTCACCATCACCCCAGATGGCTTCCGCTACCGTTCACAGATATTTCCTACAGTAAATGGATTATTCCGTTGGTTTAAGGACCATTACCAAGAACCTGTACCAGGTATGGAAGTGTTATACCTACAGTTACGCTTACAGTGTATTTCACAACTGCTGAAGTATATTGTGGATTATTATAAACACTTTCTCTCCTGTCAAAGGCATCACTCCCAGCAACAGCAGCCGAACAAGGACACCTGCATCCCTGAATGCCACCCCAGCAAATATCAACATCGCAGGTGAGTCCCACTTTCTTGCATACATACAGTCGATGTTTTCAGCATTTTTATTTAATCAATATTTAACCAGGAGATTCCCACTGAGGTTAGAAGCCTATTTTTCAAGGGCGCTCTGGCAAAGACAGTGGCATCACAAGTTCCAGACAAAGACAAGCACATACAACATTAGACTGAACAACATAAAATCTATAAATGGCAAGAACAGAGACTATAGAACAATATCAGTATCAAGAACTAATGGAGCTAAGAACACTAATGAGCAAAGAATGAGCTTATAATCACTGTATATTAGTTGTATGAGTGGACTTCTTCCCTTTCTTCCCAGACTTGACACGAGCTGTCAACGCCCTCCCACGCAACATGACCTCTCAGATGTTCAGCGCCATTGCTGCAGTCACAGGCCAGGGCCAGAACCCCAACGCCACCCCTGCACAGTGGGGTTCCAGCCAGTACGGCTACAGTGGCAGCACAGGAGGAGGAGGGAGCTCCTCTGCTTATCATGTGAGCATTTGTGGAAGGAAATCGGTTGTTTTGGCGATCTTTGTGGTTCCTGATAAAACTCACATAACATTCACTGGCTGAAAATAAATTGTTGGGGCCCACTTGAGAAGATAAACGTGTATCAGATCTGGTAATAATGGTAAATAGGAGACATTGTGAAGCTGGAGAAAACAATACGGGACATTAGGAGATCACCTGGCGTAGACCGTAGAGATGAGTAAATGTGATTTCAGTTGAACTTTAAGGAGAACCTATACTGTACATACTGGTAAATATATACTGAATTTTCTCACATAATGTAGAGCTACATTCACAACCAGCACTTCCTTCACTGCAGGTGTTTGCCACACCTCAGCAGCCCATGGCGACTCCCATGATGACGCCCAGCTACTCCTACACCACACCAAGCCAGCAGGCCATGGGCACGCCACAGTACCCTGGCTCCACCCCACAGTCCTCACACTCACATGCACATATCTTGCTAATTTCCAGATTTAACTTGCTAATTTAGCCCAGAAGCTAGCTAAGCTAGTAGCTTAGCTGAGAGCAATGGCTTCCTCCTCTTCCTCTCTATCTTTTTCTTGCTCAGAGTGTCCAGTTATTCTTCTGCCTCTTTTAGTGATAATGGTACTTGTAATAAATGTCAGATGCTACCAGCATTGGAGGCAAAGCTCACTGAATTTGAAGCACAGCTCCACACCATGGAAAACAGCCCAGCTAGCCAGGCCCATGTAGCCAGTGCAGGTCCCCCTAGGCGTAGCTCAGCCCAAGCTAGCCACCCCCTGAGAGCTTCCCAAGCAGCTGGGATCTCAGCCAGGTGGCTGGGTGACAGTTCATAAGAGACATAGCTCAAAACAAACACCCACAGTTTATCACCTGCCCGTTCACGTTTCAAATTGATTTTCCCCACTCAGCTACACACCCACTGAGAAACCAGCTCTAATTAATTGTAACTCCATAGTCAGAAACCTGAAGCTAGAGACACCAGCAGCGGTAGTCAGATGTATTCCTGGTGCCAGAGTGAGGATAAACATAAATACGGTAAGATTGTTATTCATGTTGGCATCACCTCACTAATACCATTCCTACGGTCACACACTGTGGTGACAGCATCATGCTGTGGGGATGTTTTTCTATGAGAGGGATTGGGAGATTTGTAAGCATAGAGGGAAGGATGGATGCAAAAAAAATATAGAGCAATTCGGAATGAAAACTTTCTCCAGATCTCCGGATGGGGAGAAGGTTTACGTTTCAAGAAGACACTGACCTGAAGCACAAGAGTGGCTTCAGGAAAGCTCTGTTTAAGTCCTAGAGTGGCCCAGCCAGAGTCCAGACCTGTTGTTCAAGTTCAAAGTGTTTATTTGTCATATGCACAGTTAGGAAATGTGTTTCCCTGTACAATGAAATTCTTACTTTGCCGTCCACGTGAATGCCACAAAATACAAATGAAATATAAAGTAGATGAATAAGTAACACTAAATCTAAGGCACTTTAAGCAGCAAATGCAGCATTAGAATAAAAATATATAAGAATATAATAAGAGAATGTAGGCTGTATGAGAGCAGCATGTGCAGCAGTCAACAGTCAATGTGCAATTATACATGTGCAAACTGAGAATGTAAAGAGTACTTGACGTATTTCCTGGTAA